ACATAGATATGTTGATTTGACATATAGCCGGTTTCGGATGGTATTTCCATTGGCTTTCTCGGTTTAAAACGTTTGATTATTTACATAAACAGAATCTTTGTCATGATATGTGTCGTACGGTCTGATATTAATTAAACATCCTATTTACGTTTCTAAACGAAAATATTAACATATCTATTCATGTTGTGAATATTGGTTTCGAACCACAAAGCAATGTATTTGGATAACAATACAATGCTCATAGTTCCGTGCTTCTGCTTATTTTGGCAGCGAAGCGAGTTACATTGAAAGTACGCCATGTTGAAGTGCTGGGAGAGTTTTTTATCATTCATTGAATCTCATTAAGAGCGAATAAGCATGCAACAAAACCAAGCTGATTGAAATATACAAAGAGTTGAAATACATACCACAACATTATCACGCGCCTTTTGAAACGTTCGTACTTGTTGGGAGTTCGATCTGAGTTTAACACACAAAAACACGTAGAGAAAGAAACGAACCGCGACAAAATGTTCATTTCTCACTGACTGGAACGGACGGTTTTCTTCATAGCGTGGATTTTCCCTGCAGCGATTTTTTGACCAAATATATGAATACGTATTCGAGGTGGAATAAACATTTCAGAAATATGAAAGTATTTATGTTTAAATTGTGACCATCGAATAAGCAAAATGATCGAATGTTTAGTTCGAAAGATTTCCCATCTTGTTACAAGATGTTTTTGTTTTTGGGTGTGTGTCTTTTGTTTGTTGGTAAGTTTGTTTCTGTGGCAGGGGCTTTTGGGGGGTGTATTTCTCTTGTTGGGGTTTATTTCTTTGTATGTGTTTTTCCTTTTTCGAAGGTAGTTTTATGTGTGTGCAAGTTTGTGCTGAAGGGGGAGCAAGACAGATAATACCTTTATCATCACTGACCGCTAAATATTTTATGATGCTTCAGGCGTCAATACATTTTTACATCATTACACAAATATCAATTAAACGTAAAACCATCTCAGGCTCACGGGAAAATCAACTATTTTACAACATTAACAAAAATAATAAAACTATCTGACATGGGAAATCCTCTTTCAGATAGGACACTTAATTACTAGCACTATCTATGCGAATGTAGGCGTTCTCACGGTACCTCCACGGTTAATACACGGTTGTCATTAAGAAAACTATAATGGAGTGTTGCAATATTAATTAGCCTTTAGTGTTCTCCATATTAGTTGTATTTACCAAGAACAATGCACCTGGATGGAGGCTAATATCATAGTTGGAAGGTCCCCGCGACGTCGCCTCCCTTCCGGCTCCTCACTCTGCAACATCGTGGCCCTTGTGTTCTACGCGGCTTTTCATGGTGTGTTGATTGTTGTAGATAATGAATGGTCACACTCAAGCAGGTTTGCATAATCAACGAAAATGAGGAAAATAAAGAAGTTGGTCCAGTGGGGAGGAACACGTTGTGTTGCATTCACATTCTGGCAGGGTATTGACAGCCTTCCAATGGAGGACAGCGTCCCCTGTTGAAGTTTCATATTGACGCATTTATTGATAGTTATAGTCAACAAAAAGCCTTGCTGGTGGGTCCTCGGCCTGAAACAAAATGGGAAAGTATGTGTTTGAAAGGCGTCACTTTATTTTAAAGATACTCTGGGTTGATGCGAACCTAGTTTTTGAATGATTCCTCTTCGATTGTTCGAAGCAAGAATACCTGATGTGTTCTTTCCACATTAAACACTGACTTTGTCATGTGAAATACTGTCCATATGAAGTTACGATCTTAGTCGCTTTTCCACTTGTGCATGTTTATGTTGTACAATAAACACACATATTTATAAACTGACAGTTATATAGAATTCGGACAACGTTCTCTTACAATAATCGATTTTTCTTCATAACAAAAGTGCATTAGCAAAGTATGATGTATAAGTTGTATAGTAGATTACAGCTGTTAGGAAATACAATCATCAGTATTTCTCTTGTTTGAAGTGTTTATGTGTGGGATAAAACAGCTTATTTACACACTCACGACACTGTGAATGAGCGCTAAAAACGTCAGTTGGCCTGTATAGGTGGGAACAGTGTAAAATATACCCGACATTCAATTCAATACAAGGGCTGTTAAGCGTTCCATGTGGCCGAGTTTAATCCGGATATTCGCCGCAAGATTTCATCACCATCGTTTGAATGCTGCAGTAAAACAACTGTCAAGATTGATTTAACTAAGGTGAACAGTTAACCCGCCACATCTACAAATCTAGGGAGAAATTGGACGCAGGAACGAGAGAAAAGAGGTGATAAAAACTGGGAATGGGATTTAATCTGGAGCGCCACCAAGCATGGCTCATTCGGTTGTCTCCCGGGTCACGTCCGAACTCGGATCTCGCCCCGGACCGCACCGGGCCATTGTCGCCGGGGAGTTGGTCTGATTAGGTTGGCATTTCAACTGTCTGTTAATTTCCTTCTTATTTGTCCTGGAGTTTTCTACACCGTATCCACACTCCGACGTGTCCCTCCATGCCCACTACAAGAAAGACCGCGAGTCGAAAATGTTGATGGGGAGAATAATGCAATTTTTCAGCCCAGTGGCGCGATGCATAGACTTATCTGGCCCTCCAAATGAACAGGACCCTTTATTGAAGGGCTCCGTTTTGCAGTTGCGTCGAAACATCGCTCACGCTACGCTAAACCTAATTAAAGCGAATACAAGTTTATTAATGCTTTCTCCATGCTAATTATTTCGTCAAATGAAAACTTTTCGAGCATTGCGATAAATTTGCTCCTCAACGAACTCCCCATGTCACAAACCCTGATCGTCAGGGAAAAATTATTCCGTCACATTTTTGCTCCAAACGCTGAATTTATTGTGTGAGGGTAACCACGTGACGCCTCCCCTGAGTAGCAAATGCTAAGATATAGATGGGTAAAATCTACGATGCTAAATGGGAAATAAAGAGACTGAAAGCGATTTTTTTGGTCTGACAGCGTTGTGGTTTCTGAAGGTATGGCATAATTACATTCTAATTCTTTCTTCTCCAAACCAAATTAAAGTATAAATAATACAGGTATAACTGAATATGTCTCCATGTATATGGCCTCACTTAAACCTGAGTATGCCAATTAAATAACGAATTATATAAACTGAACGTTTATCTAATATAATGTCTGTTTGTACACCGTATGTAATCTTGCATGTTTTATACACCACAATACCCTCTTACGGGCATTTCGCTGTGTCATTCTCTGAACAGTACCAATTTCTCAGCTTAAAGAATCAATGAATCAACTTTTCTTAAAGAAAAGTAAAAAGCTCCTCCTTTATCGTGGTTAATGAAGTGGAATGGAAGATGTAAAACTAGAAGTCCCTTCGTCGCGGAGAGATAACCTCTCGTCAAGATGAAAATATTAAATGCTTTCATTTTTAAATGTGCATGAAATTCGATAGCAGGGATTAATCGCAGTTGAAACGATAACCTTTACTGTCATGGGAGCACAGTGGTGGGACACTCGTCGTCCCAAGGGAAACTCCCAGGATTTTCCATTGCGGACATGGAGACATTCCGATTGCTTTTAATGTCGGTGCTGATTACAGTTGGAGACGAGTAAAAGTCCACCATTTTGTCGGGGAAATATGAATATTAGTGTCAGATTGTGAGGAAGAATCTCACGGTTTTAATCGGTAGTTAAGGGTCTATTACTGCCTAGTGGTATCGCATCAAAACGCACATTAGCGCTTACACAAATCAATTGTTTGGGGCCAGGGCGTGTTGAAGCCACCCATGGGTTTTGCTTGGTTTTCAGGGAGATGGAAAAGATTCAGAAACAATCAATTTTCAGCCAGAAATGTCGCATTCACGCGGCCTTCATAGCTTTTATCGTAGCAGTGATGATTATGAAAATCTGTTTGAATTAGAGTCAGCGACACTCGGCAAGCTGACCCATGGCGAAACAAGCGCCGTTATTATATTGTCAGTAACTACATTGAAACTGAATAACGTGTTCGACAAAACTAGTAACAATAATAATATTGTTCCAATTTAATAAATCTAGGAAATACTTGCCAGATGGAATGTTAAATGAAACATTAATATTTTGAAGATAGCATTATACATGTAGGCTTGAAAGATTTCGTGAGACTGGTATGGTATACAGTCTGTAGTTAGAGTTGTCGCATGGAACACGCTGAGAAGTCCCCTTCACTGTTTAACTCCGTACGGGCTTACAAACTGTCTAATGATAATGGATTGTACGAATATCAGTCTCAGTTACCGAATATTCTTCACTATCCACTGTATAAGTTATCGTATCTGTGTAAGACCGTAGACATGCAAATCTATGATAAACACTAAGTATATGATCATAACAATCCCCTGTATGGTAGCTGATTACTTTCCTACCACGTGAGGTATTTCTGTGTATTGTCAATTGATTCGGTTATATCGGTTTAATACTGATTGGAGCGACCTCATGCATAAAGTCATCTAGCCTTTCTCTCCTATGTGTCGTGGCATTCAACCGCTTGCTCGAACTACGTCGGTCGGAGTTTTAAAAAAAAATAATTCCCAGAAATAGGAGACAAATTTTGTTACATGTTGCCACGAGGTGTGCGTGCACTTGAGAACAGTGGTGGTGGGCCTGGCTAAGTCGTGGCGCGGTGCCTCTACGGTGAAGAATTAGTTGTAATTGCAGGGAGAACAAGCCTCGCGAACGCCCGTCACAAGTGTGGCGAGATATCAATCACTCTCACTGAAGGAGCGTATCACTATCAACATTTGCATTCTGATTTTCGCCTCGCGTATCTATGATGAAGACACGAGCACTTCTAAGGGAAGTTAAGACACAGAGTAATTTGTCATGGAGCGTCTCGCTTGCATGAAAATTCATGCCGTGCTTCCTTCCCCCCTAGCAAACTGGCTCGCGACTGCAACTTCATCCCTCGGTGAGTCTAGCGCTAGAGAGTGAGAGAGGGCGGAGAGGATTTGGGTGCTGCGCTCGGTAGCATTATCTACATCAGCTGACTGGATGTACATTTCACACTTGTGACTGACAGCGCACGCGCCGGATTATAATTCTTCTGTCTCACGTGTATTTTAACCTGCCTATACCGGACTCTCTATACTAGGGACACTGCTAAGTGGTCGGTCATCATGGACATGCTGTATTTTGGGGATGGAGTGACCTATACGTACCGGCCAACATACCCTCAACTAAACACACATTGCAAGTATGACTTTTCCTCATCGTGTGCCTATCCTAATGTGGGACAGTCCTCAGACGGAGGGGGGTACTTTCCGTCCAACTTTCCCCCCTTACCACTTTCAGCCCCAATCTCCCAGCTCCTGTGCAGGGTTTTTCCAGCGACGGACGGGACGGATTAAAGGTAATAGGATATTTCTTAAAACTTCAACTGACTTATTTTATCATCATGTTATTAATGAAATTAGAAAGTTTTGGTCGCAAGTACTGTCTTTGTGAGAAATCATCGACATGTAAATAATGTGCACTCGGAAGTGTCTAACCCCGACCCCATGCAGAGAAAATACATCGATGAGGGGTTGTTTATATCAACAACATTGAAGACACTTGTCTCTGATGGGGCATCGAGGCAAGCACTGCATTGCTAAGAGAACATTATATAGCAATTTCCCTCTTATTTAGGTCGTCAAATTAACCATCACTCGTCGATACATTGCAATTGTGTGACTTTGGTAATTGTGAATCTAGTAAGGGGTGCCCTTGCTCTTGACCGGATGTTTCAGGTCCATGACATGTCGATATCAACACATGCATTAATTGCCCCGTGTGTTTTGGCAGCGCACTGAGCCGTGGCCAGAATTTGTGGATATTTTCTCTTCCCCTGTCGTGAGGACATGCTTACAAACAAATCCATACTATGTTTACCTTTGTATACATCGCTAGCAACACTGGATCGATGTCCCCTGAAAAGAAAACCACAGAAAAAATAATTAGACAATTATTGAAGCATGAGAAATGTCTTTATAGCGCACTTATACTGAAATATACATTTTCGACAGCTGACGGGTTCGACTGGAATGGGTTCAGTTTCAAAGGTTTAACATTTTGCAATTGATTTTTCAAGTTACAGATCATAAAACTCTGTTTATTATGGTTTTATTACTGATATTCTCTTTCCATAAAACTTTCATGATACGTCGGGGAAATGCTACACGTAGTACTATAAATTTTTATGATTAAAGTTTGTACGGTGGAAATGTAACAGGCGATTAAAATCATCATAATTACACAATAATACGTATGATGTGAGGATGCCTTGTACTTCCTCCAAACTGAGTGTGAAACACGTTTTATTTCGTATGATGTATTTTCTTCTAACGCTTGAAGCGCTTGTTAAAAAAACATCTTTATGGACCATGCTTTATGGGTTTACTTAAGGTGAAACTCGAAGAACAAGTGGTAAAAAGCTCAGTTATTGAATATATTACCATATTAGCCCACGGTAACTCACCAGTCTTGCCTTGCAATGTACTATGTAGCGGATTTCTCTTGCTTCCTGTAGAGTTCAACTGTCACAAGATTGACGTGACTGTCAGTCATACATGTCTTGTTGTGTTTCTCATGTAGATTTCAGCATAATACAGATGCTCAGCTCTGACCCCTGCCGTCAACAGACAGTTGAGATAAGGGAATCTCTCCTTTTGCTATCAGTTTCCTTTCTTCGTCCGTGAATACGCCATTGTTGCTTGTCACGCCGGTATTACGATTCCAAATATAGGTAATATATAGGGAAAACATAGAATATACTCGACCACTCTAAAATACCAACACACGTTAAATGTTAAAACGTTGAAAACAGTTCATCTTTTAATCGAATAATAACTTTTATATTTGATATGAAATTGTCTTGATGAACAGATATTGGGATACATAAGATAATAATTACACGAACCATTTTCAAATACATGTATATCAAAACAGATTTAGGTGGTCTCTTATCAGGTATGTCAAAAGAGGAACTTTTTTCAATAATTTGTTATTATTGAAGTGATCATGAAAAATGTTTTAATTTTCATGCAATTTTTGCGCAGTTTCATTCTCCGTTTCAATTCGTTTCAAGACCGCTTGATCAAATTTCCCTTATTATTCAGCAAAAGCTCGGATTGCCGGGAAGTAATCATAGTTCCTCTGTAATCGCACATCAAAACCGAAAGCATAATAAATGATCCTACCAGAGTCATTTGTGTTTTCGTGTTGCGAGAAGTGTCACACTTAATGTCGAACGAGTTTTTTTCTTGTTTTGCCAAACTTTGCTGAAATTGTTTCCGATCCTTGCACGAATTTATTGTAATCATCAGAGTCTAATAAAAGACGCGACCCTTTTATACAGTTACTATAAGGTTCCAAGTGGCAATTCCCCAGGGTTTGCGTCTTAGAGCCGAGAGGGAGGGGGAGAGGGGTTTGATGGATGTGTAGGCCGCCGAGCGAATCCTAACGGAAAATTGAATGAGAAAATCGGCCTTGTCTCCGGGGACAATATTTCTCAATTGTGGGACTTTATTTGAGGGGATCCTCTCTACTCCTCCGAATTCCGTGGATTCAGAACCTTATAGAATACTGGGTACCTTGCATTCAGGTTGTAAGTAGGTGGCGATCATATATTAACCTACCCGTTTTATTGATACTGTTCATACACGGAAGAATGCGAGACTTACTAAATATGACTGGATCGCCTGTGTAGCCGTCTAGATACTTCTGTGGTAAACTTGTTGTGTCAACATGGTTTTCTTCTATAGTGAAAAACGATTGCATCAATCTGGTACTTATTTTAGTAGCAGTTATTCAATATGCTTTTTAATACTTAAAGTTACTTGTACGACATGATATGATTTGTTTTCACACATATTCGTATTATCGAAATGCCCAAAATGGCTGTTCAACTCCTTGGTAAGATTCCGTCAGGATTTCATAAAATAATCGAAATGAGTGAATGAAGTATCGCTGATTCGTAGTAGACCTCCCAAAAACTGAGTAAAAGCATGGCTTAGTATCTATTTCTTCTACAAAGGGGGCGTGGCTACTTGGGCACGCAAGGCCACGCCTACTTGAGTACCCGAACTCCTTGTATTTGAACTTGGTATTCATGCGCTTTGACCCATCTCCCACCCGCGTTGGGAAACACCCTGTTAAACAAGGCACGCACTATCAGTCGCGTTTATCAAGAATCGGTTCAGGATCACCAATCCCGAAAACATTAAATTTCAAAAGAAACAAAATTTTCCTTGAGTCTTTTTCTGTGGTTTCCGTTCGTGTTTGGGCAAAGCTTACTTCCGTTTGTAATTGCTTGGAGTAAATTGTTTTGAACTGGGTTTATCATCATTTAATGATTCTCGTTGATTGTTAAACACAGTACATTAAATTTTACCGGTTTCTATATTTATAGGTATGTATGCAATTCACAGTGCAGCTTTTTATTATTTTCAAGAACATGTGTTGTGACATGTTACAAGCAATTTCCTGTTCGAAAAACATTTTGACTGTTTACTGTCTATATCTGATTTTTGAGGAGGGCTTAATATGGTACAATTATCGAAAATAAAATAATACTATATCCTATCGTGGTTCATGTCTTTCGATAGTGCTTCTTCCAGCTGCAGGTTTATCGTTTCCTGGCTACAGGGAGATGGTGGTGGTGGTGTGGTTAGTCCATGTGTCGTTAGTCCATGTGTCGTTGTCACGTACATCAAAGCATAAACAAGATGCACCACGGCCCACACTTTTCGCGTGGTTGAAATCGACACCACGTGAAACTGACACCCCATGTTGGCGCACCGACAAGATTAATTCATTTCATCAGTGAACAGGCCGGGCATGAAATATACAAATTATCGTAAATTTTCATAAAAATGAATTGAAATGTTTTTAGTCCCCCAACTAATGCCCAACAGCTGTGCGATCACTTCCACTTGTAAATTGCGTGTCCGAAGAAATTTCAATATTTGTATAAAACCCGCTTGGTGTTATTTAGGGACATTATTAGATATGCACCTGCGGGGCAAATGGCTCACCTTTGGGAATACATGTCTATGTTATTGTACAACTATGATTTTTTTAATTTAAAATATAAAGTATGATCCCTTAAAAATAAAATGACTGTAAGAGCAGAAGTATATTGGACGTATGTTTGGGGGATGTCCTCTTTGTTTTGAAACGTTTGTGAAAAGCATTCCGTATGATCAGTTTTTCGTTTCATCACGCCTGGTGTTGGCGTCTACCATATGATCCTTCTCTGAAATACCTTGCGGGTATATGTCGCTAGCACTTTTATCTTATAATAATGACGCATTTGTAATCTTCAAACGGATGCATAAAATGTTATTACATGAGTTTTCATCTCTTGTATTAGATTCAGTATTTTTTTAATTTCACATATATTTTCAGAATAAATCATTATCGTTGGTTAGTGTAGCAACGACTGCCGTTAAGGATGAACAATTTATAACAACCAATAACAATATGCAAATGGTCAACGGTCCGGTTTTATTAAACAGTAATAACAATTATAAAGTTTTCTTTCTAGAACCAAAGGTTTATTTTGATTTAACAACCATGAACATTTCGTTGAAAGATATGCGATAGATATATACATATATACATACAGGGATACATATGTAGATACAGGGATAAATACATAGGTAGATACATAGGTAGATAGGCATTTTTGCTCCTACTGTATTCACGTAGAGAGATCTCTCATATTCCCTATTTAGCAAGTATAAACAAGGACAATAAACCACATCGATTTCAACTTACGGAGCAATCTATCGGTGATATGAAAGGTAATTACGACGCCATAAATAAAATATTATTTCCTTGATAGAATTAAGTTATTCATTTTTACTGCTGTGTAATTTGTCTGCTAGTTATGTTATGTTCGATATGAATGACAGATCGGCCAAGATGACGGTTCACCAGCTAGATCTCAGCTGATCATTGAAGGGTGCTGTTTCTATCAGAAACGACAAGACTTTTGTGAGATATTTGTTTCAACGGATAACATTCTGTCGATAAGCTGATAGCAACACATTAACCTAAATGATTAACTTTGTTGGCTATCATAGAGGAAACTCAGACCTTGAGGTCTTCTTATCAAGTTGCGACAGCGACACACAATCCAATTCAATCCCTAAACATTTTTATCATTCGCTATGAATTTTGTAGACTAAATCATAAACAAGTTTTAATTGGGATCTAGGTAAGTAATTTGTATGGTGTTTGTTGACGAGAATGAAACTATACACACTGTGGACACTTATAAATGCAATAAGGATGGTACATTTCAGGGGGCTAGTTTCCCATGAATTAAATATGTACGTCACATGTAAATATAGGCTATTTTGACAT